AATCTTCGCGCAGTCACAGTGGAGCGCGGGATTATTTGTTCAGACAAACAAAGCCTTTCAACATTCAATATAAGATAGTAGGAAATATAACGTCTATACAAAATAAGGAAGTGAATGAATACTTGAACTATACTGCTTTGGCATATGCTTAGTTGTTTGAGGTGAACTCTTAACAAATCAACCTAAGCTGTAACAAAGTCACTATTTTTGAACTCATTGTAGAATACAAACTAAGGTTTGGAGTGAAGAATAACTGTCTAGGTAGTTTAGCTACGTGCTATTGCCCAGCTGAAACCAAAACAAGGTAACTAGGTAAATGTCAGTTCTAGATTTCATTGTAAATATAAATGTACATTATTACCTAAACAAATATTACCAACCAGTTACTCTGTAGTGGCATTGGACCATAACCACACAATCCTCAAAGCTGGACACGAGACAACTCGGAAAATAGATATTCAATATTTAACGCGGAGAAATATCTAACGATGGGGAAGGCGGGAAGAATGAGTTGAATTGGTTGAAACTGATCAAATGGCAGGCGTGATCCCTGTTATCTTATATCTTTTAACCCTATTAAATATATTGTTCTATCTCTAGCCTAAGCTTGTTCTCCATCATGTATTGGCAATTGATATGATGCAATGAGTTGGTGTAGACGATGATGTAACTTCTACGTAAGATATTATAGATTAGTCTACAATTTTAGGATTAGGCCTATTATTAGAGCAGTACTACTATCATAGTAGACCATAATTCTACAACTCAACCAATAACTGTTCAGTTAGTAATCACATATAAACTACGATAGACAAACAAGTTGATAAAGGACATAAGAAAATAACCAGGTGCTCTAAATAAATGTTATTCCATCCGTTGTGGATAGATCACGTGCAGATTCGTTTGAAAGATAATATTTGGTTGCGTTATAACACAATGTTTCTAATTCTGGAAGAGCGTTTCAATTCCCAATCAAAAATGTGCGATTTCAGTCAATGCAAGCAACACAATCAAAGGAGGAACAAATATATATGGCTGCCGCCAAGACTGAGTATCAACTAAAACAACATAAACCCAGTCCAGGCAGAAACATGTAAAGTCAATGAAAGTGTAATAAAAATAAAAACTAATAAAATATAAATATTGCCACCTTGAATTGAATCAAAAAGACTAACAAAATGTACAACTGAAGGAATCAACATGGATAAATTACAAGTCTATACATGGAGGGATTTTCACGCACAAAAACTTCAAAATGGATCTTACACTCACTCCGAAAGATTTTACATTCACGCCATTTGCAGTCTACCAGAATCTAAACAGATCAGTTGACAAGTCCGTTTTAAAACACATTGAGCTACGGTGCGAAACTACATGGTGCTTAATATTGCATCTAAGGGAGCCTGCTTAAATATCTGAGCTACCTGTTCCTGCCATTTGGATATTTCGAAAATTTATCTGTTTCGTTGTTTGCTTCAACGCATCATTATGTCGACTAATTGCATAAACCATTCAGGTGCGTCTGCGAAAAGTTTAAGAAATTTCGATGAACAAGTTACAAAAACGTGCAATCGGAGACATTGTGATTGGTGGCTGTTAGCGGGACATAGACTGGATTAAAGTATGCTCAATGAACGATTACTTTGGTGCACGCCGAATGGCTAATTCTTATCCAATCAGCTCTAGTCGATACTTAGAGGATACTCTAGAATCTTCTCATGTAAAAACCATAAATATACTAACGTTTTCCCTATTGTGCTTCTTACTTCCATCTAACCTTGTTATTTGGAATATAATCTCTTTCCTATTCAACCGTGTTCTGATTTGGGGACTTGTCGAGTGATTGGTGTCCAAGAATTTTAAGCAATAGGTATAGCTGGGTCATACCGTAAGAAAAGAGATTATAACAGAGGCAATATGCAATGAAAGGAATGAATATATTATTCGGATAGCGACTTTCAAAATGACAATATATAACTGTCGATCATTCAATATTTGTCGTCAATATCGATCAAGAAATAAGAAGCGGAGACTCACTGAAATAATTTGTGCTAAGAACTCTATATTGTGTCACAAGTAAATTGTTGATTGAAGCTAGTAATAAATTAAAACAGTAATGTTCTTGGTATAAATTAAAAGGACCCGTCCGCCACTGCATTTTTTAATGCGTTCGATAGTAGACTGCTTGTGACTGTAGTGAGGCGTGTTGTAGTATAGAGAGTATCCAAACACAAACACTGGTTCAGATCATAGACCTTTCTGGGTGAAGTTGGAAATCACACATGAGACCGAGGATATTGCACTTCCAGATATTCCCCACTGTTCGCTTTTTCGCTATCCAGCTTTGGAGTTTGTGAAAGTGTATAATCAAGTTTAGCCCGACCCATATATGTGACGAGCGAAAATTCCGGTGATTAGGAGCGTACTGTAGAAATCGAATAGTTGGTTCACACAGACTCGTCCGGCGTAGAAGCAGGGTTTATCCCTGAAGGCATGTTTATCTCCACCACGTTCCCGTTTATTTGTATGTAAAACCAAGTAAACTTAACAGCCATCGTCAATGAGTCATGTTATGATTTTATGTCCGGCGTTCATCACACGATTTATCCGCCAGTCAAAATACGACTTATACAATCTTCTCACTGTGCCAAACCAATGACGTTCGACCGGTATGGGTAGTCTAGCGTCCTTATCGGTCCTATGTCCGCCTAGCCCGTCCATTTGAGTTCAGAACACCAAATACCAGCTTCCAATATGCAAATCGAACCATTTATTTCAGACATACTGGGTTTATATATTAACAAAACAGACCGCAACGCAACATACAATAGGAAATAAAATTTGTTCACAATAAAGCCAAAAAGTGATTGTGAACGTGGGAAGCAGTAATCGATAAACTGAACATAGCTTAAGAACAGTAAATCGTACAATAATAAATTATAGGTCAAAATGAAGCTTGTAGTAAGAGGAATATAAATATACACAATCTAATTATTGAATAGTTATACCATAAGAATGTATAGATAATATTAGTCAATTAATATGTCTCAGAAGTTACTCGTGATTTAATCTTCGCTCGGATATAACAGGTCATAAAAGAGATCAAAGATATTTTTAGACGTAAGTTGGTACACTGATACATATTTATCAGAACGATCCATGAGCGGCTCAGGTACGGTTAATTTAAGAGTAGGAATTTATTTATCGATTATCCAGTGAGAAAAACCTATTTCGAGATCCTCGAACGAAGAGGACTCAGAAAAATGACGGGATCCTGCTACTCATACACAGGAAAAATTCACCGTCACTAGCAAGTGATGATGACAAAGCTAAAGCGCTAACAAAATATTCGAATAAAGTATTTTACAATAACAGTAATAAAAAGCTAGCAATTAGTCTAAGAACGGAGGGTTGTTGATGAATTTTGTGCTTATTTAAAAGGACTCTATCTTACGACAACTCCAACATGTTAAATCGGACACGTCCAGCTGTTTTGATGATACACATATACATATAATGGCAAGTTTGGTGGATATTCATTTCGAAGCACAAGCATTTCGGGAGTCGTAGTAATCCTCACATCTGAACATTAGGGAGAGACGTAGTAGTCATCATTTACAGACATTATTTCAGGATCGTTCGTGATGCTCCTCAACATGTCCGTTCCACTCATCCAACTCCTTAGAGATAGGAAAGATGCTTGTCAGTCTTACATTTAAAGATGGTCAGGGGCAGATCGTATCGAACTACCAGTCTGTTGGTTTAACCAACATAGTTGTCAAGTCATTTTAAAAGATAATTTAGGTTAAGTTATTAAGTCACATAGATTCGTACAATCTGTTAACTCCCGAGTATCTCGGGTTTCAATACAAGCATTCATGATTAAGAAACTTACTTATTACGAGAGAGGATTGGACAACAACCCCAGCGTCTGACAACTTTCCACACTTGGGTCTTACTCAGAAGCTATCGAGCTTCAGAATAAGAGGTACTGTACAGGAATGGATAGGAAATTTTTTATGTGACCTTATAACGAGAGTGAAGGTTAATGGGACACTGTTCGAATGGAAGCTGGTCAGAAGTGGCGCACCCCAAGGCATTATTTCAGGTCCCCTACTTTTCCTTCACTATGGAAGTGAACTACCGCCATTGCTTAAGTCATCGATATTATTGTTTGCGGATGATGTCAGAATCTGGAGAATAATAAGAAAGGAGGTTGATCATTCTGGTCTCTAAGCTCACCTAAAGGAATTAGTCAGATAGACCCGACGTTGGGGCTTAAAAATTAGTTCTGGGAAGATTGTACCCATGCACATCGGAAAAAGTAATATTATTAGTATACTATTGACGGCAAATCTTTTCCATGAAGGCTTAGGAACAATAATAAGTCACAATTTGAAGCAATTCCGTATTGCCAAACAGCTGTTGCCAAAGGGTTTCATGCTTTATGGTCACCTCGCCGAGCATTCAAATGTTTTGAATGTTTCGAATCTTATATTCCACCTATGTAGGACCATATTAGCGTATCATACCCATGTCTGATAATGGATACTAACGGACTGGAGCGCGTTCAGCGTGTGGGAAAAATAGAAGAAGGGGCTTTCTAAACTCTTTTACGATGAGTGCTTAAAACGCCTAGTGATTTTCCCCATGTATCGTAGGACGGAAGGTGACCTTATATTGGCATTTCGTATCTTTAATTATGATTCGGGTGCTAATATGTCTTATATTTTTGCTTCATCCAGCACTAATAACTTCCGAGGTCATAGCAAGAAGGTTCACAAACCGCGATCTAATAAACTTAAAGTGGGGTTCCGTTTTTCTCATAGAGTGGTTAATGAATGAAACGCTATACTCGTACAAGTGGTATCAGCCTCATCAGTGAACATTTTCAAGGAGAAGCTAGACCTTCAATGGAAAGCAAACTATCGGGATTGACACAGGTCCACCGACCTACTACCCTTATAATTGAAGACTGAAGACTGAATATTTTTCGTTTGTAGGTCAGTGCACGTGTTGATTTTGACCCTCAGGGTCGCACTCGCAGCAACTTATGTCTTCGGAGAAGATAGAGTCGTTTCTGAATCAATTATCCAATACAGATTTATATAAACTACCTGAGCTTATTCAGTCTATCACTGAATGTCCAGGTTTGATTTCTGGTTGGACATATGCCTTTATTTTCTCGAGGTTTGTTCGTCTTCGGTGAATTTCTTGATCATCCAAAAATTAAATCGATTGAGAATGGAGAATATTCTCAGTATTATAACTTATTGAACCTATTTTGCTACGGGACGTTCGAGTTACTTACCACCAACCGGTCTGCATATCCTGATTTACGACCAACTCAAGTTCGGAAGTTAAAGCAGCTCTCGATAATTGATGAAGCGCATAACCAGAAGCACATACCTTATGGCCTCCTGTTTAAAAAGCTCGATATTGCATCTTCAAGAGAACTTGAGGACCTTGTTATCGAACTCTTTTATCTTGAAGCCATAACAGGAAAACTTGACCAACAGAAAGCACTGTTAGAGGTCAACTCCGCCATTGGGCGTGATATACGTATTGAGCAGGTAAAATGATGATATATTTCACCAATTAGCAGATAGATGAACTACATCAAAAGCTGGATTCATGGGGTGCTCGAGTAGAGTCTGTATTGGCTCATATAGCTAATGAAATAAAGATGGTTAATGAGCGGCGATATGAATCCGAGTTACATCAAAAAGAGATTTTGGAAGCGTCACTGTCTATCAAAGAGGCCTTACGTGGCCAAATGGCGAAATCAGACGTACGTTTTCTTGTTTGTACTGATAAATCAACAAATCTGTCGTGGGGGAACTTTGGCTGGTCTATGATTTGATATACTGCTATGTTTTGTGTGTGATTTATGAAAATAGACCTTTTAGTAGTAATTTGCATAAGCCATTGAGTCAATATACTGCTTCCAGGCCATCATGTATTCAGCGATATGTGATGTGATTCAAATATAATCGGATGTGTCATGATCTTAAAGTATCTATTTTCATTTTTCAAGGGATTTCAAACAATGTATTTAAGGTATAGACTTCTATAGAGTTGACTAAAGTTGTTTTAACTCAGACTCGCTAGTTGCTTCGTGAGAATTTTAAGAGTTTGTTATATTCGTTATCTTGATAGATGACCGAGTGCAGATGAATTAAGTAAGAACTAAAATCCAAATTTTCTTGAATATATCAGTAATTGGATTCACTAGCATGTACAGTAGTAGTAAAAAATGAAGGTGTAATTAGATTGAATAGGCAAAACCGGACTGGAATAAAATTAGTATTGCATGGACACTAGATATAGGTCTCTGTAATTGTAGTGCATTTACATTAACACTGACATTTAGGGTCACCAGTAATTGTATTAGAATAGAACTAACAGTGGTAACCGAATAACCAGCAATTATGTTGCATTAAAATAAATCCAGGACCAAACTAGACTGATCTAATCTGGATTATAGTGATATGAACACAAGTTCTCTGGTGTCAATTAACATGTCAAGTATTTATGGATCAATATAATGATAGAATAAGACCAACGGTTATATAGATAGACACAACCAATAAAAGGAATATTAGGGTTCGCATATTATATATATATAATCGTAACCAATGGTTGGAGACTCTTGGTGATAGGCTCAGAATCGACCACAATGGCGTAGGTGTATACACTCTCTGTCTTCCCTTAAACTAAGAGATTAAAATTGCTTCATATCTTCCTTTCTACGTACTAAATCTTTCTTCCTGTACTATATCCTTATATGCAATCTTTTATATATTACCACAATTGACTTTACTATGAATCCAGTGTTCATCTTGTTGTGCTAATGAGGTATGGGGACTTGGACCGATGCACATATGTGCCTGGTCCTACGTTGTAGCTGACTGGCTGATTCATATATAAGGCATTCGAATTAATGACACAACTGGGCATAATTTAATCGGTAGAACTGAACTAATGCATTTGACTGTTCCATTCTCAGTTAAATATTGTGTTCCAAAATGAATATACAGTTATGTTCATTTAACATGTTTGTATTAACTGCCATAGAGGTCCATGTGGCTGAACATCACTCTAGGTCTTAGTGCTGTAGCATAAAATATGAATCTTTTTGCAGTGGAAGTTGGAGTAGCTTACTAAATTTTTACGCTGTTATAGTGTGCGTCAAATTGAATATTTGGCTCGTTTACTAGTTCGCTTTATATAGGTGGGTATTATTTCTAATGTGTAGGAGTATTTTAAGGATGATAGATGTTCTATTCTCTGAAGTATGTTAGTAAAAATGTTGATAATCCGGGCTTTTCAAGCTTCAAAGGATCCATTATTTACTGATGTACTGACTCTAGGATTTAAATCTTGCCATTGAGTTTATTCGGCATGTATATTAGAATTCAAATATGCGAATTATGGTACTGTAAGTTCTTGTTCTATTTTATAGGCTCAAAGTTTACGGATGGATATGGACGACATACTTATTCATCCAGATTTATTAGAAAGTCGTGTAGAAGCAACTCGTCAAAGTTCAAGCAATACTGAAGGTGTTGGTGATCGTGATGTTCGCAGTCGAATAACTGTTTTTAAAAATCTTCGGCATGGTAAATCTTCAAAACAACAGTAGTGTTAAACAACTGTGAACATGTATGATTTATTATTCTGTGTACAACTTTTATAAATTACTGCAACTCAAAGAGTGCTGTGTTTTACCTTGAATTTTTCGCAATGTCAGCGTCTTGGATATAAAGCAGTAAATTTATTATAAATTTTTCCTGAAGCAAATTTTTGACAATAAAAACAGAATTCTAGGTAGTTGGTCATTTTGATACTAATCAAAGTCTTGGCAAATATCAGTTGTCGATAAGGTTTGGGGGATAAATTGTTACAATATTGTAGTTTCGAATGGGTATCTTTTATCTTTTCCGCAAACTGCATTTTGATTATCGGGTCTTTGCTTCGACATGGAAAAGATCAACTGGATATTTCTTACCAATATTTAACATAGTATCCTCATTTTATTTTGTTGCTTGTTAGTGTTTTACTCTGGACTTCTCCGATGACTTTAACTTGTGCAGTCAGTTCTAGGCATTTACTTCAAACCGTGCTTATTGAATCCACTGATTAGGAATGCTGCGATTTCGTCTAAATATCATTGGGTTCTAGGTTTTGATATCTATTTCGTTTATCAAATTTGTAAAATGTATAAAAGTGGTTTTTGCTTCTTGATAAATGAGGGATTTAGGTCATGACTGGCCGTTAGCATTTAAGAATGCAAAAGTGAAGCCTGTTTTTCTCAATTTCAAGATATGGATATAGTATATAAAACTAACCATCTGTACCAACAAAGCTGTACTGGCGTGTGGTCTTTGTTTATATTGTTTCTCTTTACTAAAGCTGAACTCCTCACTATCTTGTTCTTAGCACTGACCTCTAATGATATTGACTCAACCTATAGATTAAATATTTGCCATATAATTAGTTTTTTCTGTCTCCCCACATATCTTTAAGAACTATTCTTCTTGACAGATTAGTGATAGTACTGTGGAATCTACGTAGGATATGTATCACGCTTGGATCTTAACTATTCCTTCCCTGGACTTATACACATTTGTCCCAGGTATATATTTTATTTAGTTAAGCACATAAACCTTGGTACAAGGAGGCACCAAATAGATATGTGCCGCATAAATCATTCAATTTTTGTGAGGGCTAGGATACTGACCGGGTGCCCGAACCGGAGCAGGTGGTTTCCTTAGGGAGCTACACCCGAAGCCTTTGACCTAAAGGTCTGATGCACAAGGCAGTGGAGCAACGTCAGGAGATGCAATTCCATGGTAACCGGTGACCAACGATTGGTTCATACGCCATTTGCTCCTTCAGGATACTGGAACTCATGTGCACCATCGGTTGGGAATGAGGGTTTTCGAACTCCCCTAGGTGGACTCTCCATGTCCACCAACCCGGTTAAAGCGCCGGACATTCGCTTTTCGTCCTCTCAATTTCGTAAACAACACCCTTGCCTTGAGAAGGCAGTGAGTAGAACTTCGCCGGCAGTGGTTGTATGCACGTGGTCATGTGAGAGCATTTTGAGGAGAGCTAACTCTCCCCACTCTCGGCCATACCAGGGCATATGGGGGTATTATTTTGTCTATGACCGACTGGTTTCATAATGATCGTCTAAGCTATTCGATTTCACAGCTGCCAACATGTACTATAGTGAAAAAAAACAGGTAGGGGAGACCGATTTGTTATCTAAAGTGAAATTATGCAGTGGCTTGGTAAAATGTGAAAACCGTACATTAAATTCATCTTTTGCACATCTTTGCGTTGTCCTTTACCTATTCCATTATCCCCTGATTCTGTTGTTATTTTTATTGCTCCTCGATTTTTTTTCTGTTCTCTTCAATTTTACCTTCTGCTGCCAGGCATTCCACTACTTATATCTGTCGGCATAAGTAGCACACACCACACTATCATCCGCTTTTTTCTTAGTCTAAAGCAGAGTGATATGGAAGTGGTTATAGGACCGGTGATGTTATATTTTTGTACTTAGTACATATTGTTTGTGAAATTGATCGTGTGTTTGCAAGTTATAAAAAGTTTTATAAAGCTTATCGGTTTCCAGTTCTCATTTGATGTTTAGTGAACGTCCTTCAAATATCTGGTAAAGTGAAATAAACTAGCCTTAGTTAAAACTTGGTCAAACTCGTTAACAACCAATTGGTACCGGGTTAGTAAGATATTTCATTTGAGATGCAAAAGCATATCACACATGTCTGGCTCTATCTGATTGGAACATCGGCGAAAGTAATGTGTTTGTTTGTGAATATAGATAATAATTTGAGATCTGTGGGTATATTCAATGTGATTCATGGATATTTTACGTAGATCCTATTGGCAATGTAACCATTTTTAATAATAGTCATGTTTATGATTCATTGAAGTTATTCATTTAGAGTCGTAAATGGTGTTTTAGTCTATCTTACATTCGTTCAATATTATTTATGTGAATTCTTGTTTATAGTTCTAATAGTAATTTCGACACAACTACACATTAGTGACCTTTTTAATCCATGTTGTAATCACTGCAGCTAATAGTGGTGGTACAACAATTCGTCGAGTTAGCTGAGATCAAACTTCGATAAAATTTTAGCCAACATTATCTGCAGTGGATTGATAATCCATCTCTAATTAAATGCCACAATAATTTATTCCTTAACACAAGCCGTCGAATGAAGTTTTCAGCAATTTTTAGTTTATAAATATTTCTGACCATTGTCGCCGGATTCCACAGTTTTATTAATCAGTTAAATATATTTTGACCGTTAAGTTTTAATAGAGGTTTTTTGGGTGAGACCCACACATAAAATTTTGGATTCTATTCAGGGACCTGAGGGATGGTACAATTTATGGACCCCATGATTGCAGGTCACACTGGTTTTCAGTGGTTATTCTGCCAAGTTTGAATGCCGGAAACTGCAGGGGGAAGGATGTGAGGGAGAGGAGCTCTTTCAGTTAAAATAATTTCATCAGCTAATTAAACTAACCTTGTTGAGACAATAAGTTCTGAAAATGTAACAGTTTATGCCTTATTTATTTATTTTTTAAAAATTGTTTATTCCATCAAAACATTTTAATGCGACTTGTTGGTAAGTGATAATAAAAATAATCTAATTAGTTTACTGACCACCGTAGTTAGATGTTGCTATATTTACTTAAAAGTATCTTGTATTCATGTATTCTAGTTGTGTAGAATAAAACTTGGTTTTTCATACCAAAACACATTTGTTTTATAACTCTTAGATAAGAAAATGTGCGTATTTCATACATCAAATGATTTTTCAAATACATTTCGTTCCTACATACTTTTATTGATTTCCAAGAGACATGTGGAATACAAAAATGTTAAAAAATAAGATGAATATTTTGAGAGAGATTATTTACCTGTTTATAAATACTAATCTAGCACTATCTCATGTTTACCGGGCTGTAGTTCATAAACATGTATTCCGGGAAGTCATTATAAGATTGGTGTTGAGAACAGTATGGATAGATAATTTGTCAGCGACAATGCAGGAAAACAGTAACAGTACTTCAGTTAAAGTGGATGATATAAAATATGATAAGGTCCTAGACTGTCTAGAAATACAAACATAAGTAATGAATGCAAAAAGCATGACAATACCACAGGTCATTGGGTGAAAATTCAGTTAATTTGAAAATAAAACATAAGATCTCTGTGCTAACTGAACTTTGACTCGCTAGCCAATTCGTTTGCTATAGTGCCGTTGAAGTAACTTCAAAAACACTACAGTTTATTATCATTTTGGGATGTTTTATGACTCAAATTGTTCATCTACCATTCCTCAGACAACGTAAAATCAAGAATTAAATACTAAGGTTTATGGAACAGTGCGTTTTGGTCCACCTATATATCTGAAAGTATAAATCAGACATAAGAAAGCAATAAGAAGATCAATTGATAGGCAGACAGACTGACAAACAAAAACATTATCAAAGGATTAAGTTAAGCGTGTATACAAAATAACGTTTCTACAGAGTTAATTATTATTTTACAGATGATCCCTAAAAATGAAAAGTATACAATAAATCTAAACTGAATGTAGTCAGGGCTATATAATATAAGTAAGACTGTGCCACTGAGATCGATTTTGGCTCAATTGTGGGTTACGATTATCAATGAGGCCCTACATCTACACCTGACGTGTAATTCCATCGATTGTATATATATATAATAAATACGTGTATCTCTATTAGAAGAAGATCTAATCCAGAAACATATTTATTGTCAATGGAAAGTAGTAAACATAGGAAGAAAACAAGGATGCATTGCCACTCTTAATAGTGTATATATTGCTATGTTCAATACTCTTAATGAATAAGTTATAAATATGCACAATATTAATGGTGATAAAATGTTCTGTATAGAAAAAGGAAAATCTAATAGAGTTAATAAGCAATTATAATACAAATAGAAATATATTTGAGTTCTAGTTTAAAGTCTATTAAAGAAAACAAACAAACAAAACTATCGTCTTTCATATCTGATGAGTTTTCCCTGATTATTTCTCATGGAAGGCAAAACAAAACGGGAGAAAGGAGTGATCCAGTTTGACTTTGTTCAAATATCGTTTTACAGAATTCCATTTCTTCAAAATTGTGCAATATTAGCTGAAATAAACACAGGCTAAATAGAAATAAATGCACAATCTATGGTTTATGTAATATTTTGTCATTAAGTAACTGAAAATAATTGTTATTATTAGTAATTAACTGAGTACTGGGTAGATTCGAGATTTATATTTATTTTGTTGTTTAACTAGTGATAGACAAGAAATTTACCGATGAAAATGATCATATGAATCAGCTATGCAATTTTCCAGTGATATTCTAAGTTATGAAAATTTTTCTTTTATGAAAAACAGAAGTTTGTTGACTTGAACGTTCTTAATCATTGTGAATCATGATAATAAAGCCTTCGACTGGTGAGAAGACATTTTATTGAAAGTGAATTTATATAAATAACTTGTACTTACATTCTTCTAACTTTTCATTGTTGTTAAGACTAACAACATTTGTCAGTTATCAGAATGGCGAGGCAAATTATGCATTTTTCTGCATAGATATACATGTTAAGTTTTCTGAACTCCGCCTTTAGCTCTCCCAGGATTACTGCCAGTCTTAAGCCTGGATTAAGGAGGAGAGTTGATCATGGGGTCGGTAGCCCCATCCCATACTAAGAAAACGCTAACCAGAAAAGTCATCCAAACTCTGCCCTGGGAATAGAAAAATCTTCATTTAGAAGAGTTGTGACCACTCATGGTGAAAGCCGAGATTCTTCGGAAATCACGAAGCCGATGCTTCCAACGACCAGAGTAACAATCCATATAGGTGCATGGAATGTCCGAACAATGTGGGAGACCAGGAGGACTAATCAAATAGCTACGGATATGAGATACAACTCGACGGTTCTAGGAAACAGTGAAAACCATTGAACCCAAGTTGGAAAGAAAAAGTTAGATTTGGTAGATATGCTGTTGTACTCTGGTCGTGAAGAAGAAAATGCTTCTCACACACAGGACGCTGCAGTGATGCTGTCTAGAGAATGATGAAAAGCATTTATAGAATGGGAATCCTATCATTTCAAGATCCTCGAAGCATCTTTCAAAGCAAAGAAGGAGGGAAACACAATGAATGTTATTCAATGTTATGTACTCGCCAACGATAGCAATGACGGCGATAAAGATCAGTTCTATGAAAGGCTGCAATCGACCATAGCGAGATGCCCAGGAAAGGATCCGACAATCCTGAAGGGAAATCTGAACGCCAAAGTCAGAATGGACAACACCGGATATGAAGATATCGCGGAACGGCATGGATTGACTGGGAGAAAGGAACGAGAATGGTTACAGATTTGCAACTCTGTATGCATTCAACAAAGTGGTTATTCTCCCAAAAACGCATACACAAAGCTACATAGGTCTCACCGGATCATATTACAGAGAACCACATCTACCATATCTGCATCACTGAAAAATTCAAATCAATGGAAAACATGAGAGCTAGGAGGAGAGCTGAGATGGGTCACTGCCTATCGGTTGTCAAGATGAAACTAAAGCTAAAGAAGCACTAGACAACTGAAGAAACAGTACTACAAAGGTTTAATACAGCCTACCTTGAAGATACTGAAAAATTCAACGAATTCAGGATAGATCCCAGCAACGGGCTTGAAGCCTTACAAGATCTACTCAAAGAAGAGGAAGCTACTATGGTGAACAACTGGAAAGGGATCAAAGAAGCACAGACTTCAACGTGTCAGGAGGTTCTGGGCCTCAAGAAACACCATGTAGAATGTATCTGTCGAAATACTTGGCAGGATCAAGAAGACCGCAATTAACAACAGTCGACCAAGAACAGGTAAAACCAAGGCACAAGCTGAATACACAGAAACAAACAAACAAGTGAAAAAGAGCATTAGAACCGACAAGCGGAAATGTGTGAAAGATCTAGCGAATAGTTGCAAGAGAAGAAAATATGGAACAATTATATAATATGACAAAGAAACTAGCAGGAAAATATAGCAATTCAGAACGACCAGTCAAGGACAAATAAGGAAAAACAGTCACTGAGATTCAAGTACAGAGGAACAGCTGGGTAGAATGCATCGAGGAACTTTAGAATAGACCATATCCATTGAATCCACCGGACATCGAAATAACACACACATACCTTCCTATAAATGTCATCCCATAGACGAAATCAAGATGGTCATTAGACAAATAAAGAGTGGGAAAACAAACAGGACCCGGCAATATATCACATAAATCACTGTAGTCATACATAGAAGTAACTGCAAACATGCTCCATGTTATATTCAGGAAGATTCGGGAGGAATTATAAGTGCCTATGAATTGGTGAGAACACCTCATCAAGATACCAAAGAAAGGAGATCTGACCAAATATGAGAACCACACAGGCATCACACTACTGTCAGTACCAGGAAAAGTTTTCAACAGTGTTGCTCAACCGGACGAAAGATTCAGTAGACGCCCAACTTCGAGATCAACAGGTTGGATTCCGTAGGGGTCGGTCATGCACAGACCAAATTGCGACGCTACGGATCATTTTTGAACAATCAGTTGAGTGGAACTCGTCACTATACATCAACTTCATTGCCTAGGAGAGGGCATTTGATAGTGTGGATAGGAGAACATTAAGGAAACTTCTTCGACACTATGGAGTACCTGAAAAGATCGTCAACATTATCCCAAATTCATATGACGGGTTACAATGCAAAGTGGTGTATGGAGGACAGCTAACAGATGCGTTCCAAGTGAGGACCGATGTTACACAAGGCTGCTTACCCTCCTCCTTTCACTGATAATGTTGTCGGCATTTAAACCATCCAACTCAGATAACTTAAGAGCATCAAAAACATCTATTTGTGCTGAAATATTCTCCATCATATATATATATATATATATATATATATATATATATATATATATATATATATATATATATATATATATATATGCAATTATAATGTTCTGTTATGATATTGGATTTTCTATAAACTCGAGTTGTTATAATTGCTTGAAATTCTTTGGACACCGCTTCACTCGACATGTCCCCAAATCAGAACACGGTTGAACAGAAACGCAATTATCTTCCAAATAAACAATACTGAATGGGAGCAGGAGTCACATTAGGGAAGACGTTAGTATATTAATAATTTTACAAGAGAAGATTCTGGATCTTTCCCCAAGTATCTGCTGCGTCGATTGTCTAAGAAATGGCTAATCAATGTTCTTCAACACAACCCTTCACATAACGTGCTTTAATCAAAGCCATATCCCGCTAACAGAAGTTATCCTCATCTATTATGTAGTCAACCCATAATGGGGCAATGTTTGACCTAGTATGAATACGAATTTTCCTAAGTCATCATACTTTCCGATAAACACAACAAAAATGGAGATAAATAAATTCAGAAGCATCGAGTTGGTATTTATATGAAATGCAGTGGAAAGCTAAACGTGAAAAATATGGTTCAGAATGAATATTTGAGATTGAGGAGTAAAATTGTTTGGCCACTTCATATAAGGTTTTGAACCATATACTACGATTATTGTGGAGATGCAAACTAGGGAATCTGTCCTTCTCAATGTTGTTCAGGTTAACAGTAAATGAATCCATGACCTGTAGCTGTCTTGTTCTGTTTGCTCTTTGTATTCTTCCAATTGAACATTATGGTAGTTAGAACAGCTCATCAACTTAAAATGGTTTTGTTGAATGAAGAATTATTACTTGCTTCATGCTGACTAAAGTCATGGACTGTACTCTTATTACAGTATTAAGAGCTATTACTCGATGTTGTGGGTTGATCGAAGTTAAACTTACACATTACTGAATCCCGGCTCAGTGATCAAGGGCTTAAGCGTTCGCGTGCGAGACTTAAGGTCCTGGGTTCAATTCCCGGTTGCAAGTTTGAAGAGTTGCAGTGCTAAGGAGAATGAAACATCCGTTCAATGTTTCCAGGTTTTCAGTGGCTGTCTAACATAGATCGATTTCTGTTTTCAATGCAATTCGACAGTCTCCACAACCCCATGTTGACTAAACTTTATTTTTGTTAACAGAAGAATATAAATCATACATATATATATATGATATTCTAAATTCCAGAATAACTATAGCTTACCAATATATGAAACTTGTTTACGCACATCACACGCTTCATTCTACCGTTAATAAGTAAATGGAGAAATTAACGTTAATAATTAAAATAAGATAAATACAAGTTAAGAGAATGATAATTGGATAGATTATTCATTACATAATATTAATGGATGGGGAACAGTTAAAAGATAGGTCCTGTAAATATGGAGTTTCAATGTGCTTCTCTCGGTAGTGTCTGCAAATTCACCATTACAGATGAATTTTATAACGAGTGTATGTTTACGAAATCATTTTGTTATGGAAACATTGTTTCATCATTCTGGACAAAAAGCGTTGCGCTTTGCGTCTTAGAGAAATTGAAGTAGTATGTAGAGCTGACTTGGAAATATTGGGTAGTAGTTGTAGCTCTCATTATATTGTAGACAACGGTTTTGTTTCCCAGATCACAGTATGCTAAAGAATTCATTTATATTATGAGCATATTGCCTCGATATTGGCTAGCAGTAGAATCCAAGACACGTGTTTCGTCAGGACGAACAGGAACATCTAGCTGGATTCCACTACCAGCCACTATCCATCTTTGCTTAGATTTACTCTGTTTGTATAAAGAAATTTGACTTATAGTTTGCTCACGTATATCACCTCAGAAGCCTGAAAAACTTCATTCTTCATAGTAATAGTAATCAGAAAGTGTGATGGCGTTTAAACGTGGGGTGCTGACGAGTCTCAAATAGGACGAAACCCACGTCCTGGATTCTACTGTTAGCCACTATCCATCTTTGCTTAGAATGATTGTGAATTAAAGCAATATCGAGGCATTACACACAGTATGCACATATGCCAATAAAAGACTGATCAATTGTAGTCCTAAACATTAATAGAAAGATTTAAGTAAACAATACCAAGTGAATTTAAGCTAATTCATTTTCAAAAAATTTTCCTTGAAATTAATAGTTATTTAAAACATCTAGGTGATTTTGGTAATTTATAGACTAAATAGAATTGACCAATAATAACAAATTGAATATATTTAGAGAAATATAGACAATGAAGTAAACATAATGAAATGAATTCATTATTATTTTCTTGTCGTTAAGACAAAATAAAATGTAATTAAAGCAGTTATTTGAAATTCTAGTCAAAACAGATTAGAAATAAATGAAACACAAACTTTGAATGTATGAGATATGAGGAAAAATTTGTTGCGTTGGCAACACTTTTTAACATTTCACTTTTGAAAAAAAATTAGAAGTAATTTATCAATTTAAAAGGTAAATGTGTTATTGTAATGTTAGGGGAGTACGATAAATTTTCAAGAAACTTAACAGAATCGAAGATAGACATCAGATTATAGCAGGTATCTGCATTGCCCTTGTATATAGTTGAGTTAGTAAAGAGTTTAATGATTAATGACACTCTTTAAGATGAATCTAAAATGTGTTGTATGCGCTCAAATAAGATATTTCCTACTTAAAACATTTTTTTTCTGGATTCACTTTTAATTGCTTAGTAGAAGCAAGAAACAATGTGTCAATCTACTTTATAGTCTTTTGATAAAGCTTGGAACTATTAATTAATGACCTTTGTCTTGTTATTTTTGTAGTAATTTTGACTTAAGAAATAATAAGTATTCGGTTTTCATCTTCAACTAAGGCTATCTGATGTGTATTCCAAGAAATCACCTTAAGACAATTAATAATCTATGAATTACTACAAATTGTAAATGCATTTAAAATATTTGGTCCATATAAATTCTAAACTTTAATTCATTGGATCTGTGGTTACGTATATTATTTATCAAAAAATGCTAAACTATTGTTGTTTAATGATTAAAACGTATTGTACTACCTATATCATCACCTGAAAACTTACAACCCTGTATAATAGTATTTATAACTACCGGTAATTAGAAAGCAATTATGATTACATTTATTTCACTCGATAAATGAAGTTAAAAGTTATTAATCACTTGGTGCAATTCAGATAATATTCAGAGATAACATTATTCATGTTCGCATTAATTATTCTACTTATTTTATATTGGTCAGGTGCAAGGTTACTACAGTACTGTAATAATCCTAATTTAATGATTGGGTTTGATAAGAAACGATACGAATAATATAGATTAGTTCCAGAAGTTTATTAACGAAACTAAAAGACTTAAATGCATTTGAGAATGTTTTCTGAAAGGTTTGACAATTCTAGAAAGCATGACTACAGCTTTAATGGATACAAAGTAAGAATCTTACATCGTATGGTTGAACATATTCCACATTGGATGAGGAATATTATTTTATGTGGTGGGTTCATAACTATTTATAGTGCCATCTTAAATGGAAAAACTATTATTTCGAGCCCTCATTATAAGCTTCAAGAGATTTTAGTCGAAGGAAAGCATTACAGTTCGTAGCTATTGTTTGAATTAATCATGCAGATAATAAAACATTATCAAACGACTACATTCTTACCGAACTACGAAAATTGATATTTGTCCGAACTGAACGGTTATTAATAGCTTGGGTTGGTCGAAAATTGTCAGCCATCGATCCTGACCATAATGTATCGGCAACTCGTAATCGCCGAAGTGTTTTTAACTACAGGAAATAAGATTGTACATAAAAATAATAATAATAAAACATCGAGAGCATTAGTAACTGGAAACACATTTTAACTTAAAGTTATTTAATTTTTTTCTTACTGAAATGTAGTTCGTTTGTTCGATAAAACAAGATTTAACAAAAAACGGGAACTAATAATTTGGATTTTTACTTAGAACAGAATAACTACAATAAAAGATAATTTCTCATCAGAATGAATATTTTTAAAGTAAGGGATTGGCTATGTGTAAAGTAATTAATAATTTTTACTATTTTTCTTAGCATAGGCTAATGTCAACCAGAAAATCATTTAGAACTAGAATATATTGAATTAATGTATGATATTGTTAACCAATAATGATGTCAATTAGTTATACTACTGACTTCTTCATTATTAAGTAGTATGGAATTCATTGAATAAATAATGATCACCTTTATTTACTTTCTTCATCTGTAATCAATTTTTATCAATCACAGTTAAAACATATATTTATTGTATTGAGTTAATTTGAGTTTGTTATACATTCTTTTCAAATCTCTAATATTTTGTTGTATAGATTTCTAACTAAATTACATAATCAGATATATTAACTAGTTTACCAGTGACAATTTTGTTTGTTTGTTATTAATTTTGATTTGAATTAGTAAGTGATGGTGCATTGATGACATTTATTAGATACTTTTGACATTGTTAACTATAGTATGGATGATTGTCTCGACTGGTGTTTAAATTTTATGATATTAAAAAGATAATAAATTAAATCTATTCAATGACTTTCACTCTGTTTAAATGAATTGTATATGAAAACTAGTGACAAGTTCAAAACGTCCAGAGATCACTGATTAATAGTGTTTTAATGCTAAAATTTGATTATAAATAGTGCTTTTGACTTGTACATTATGTCTAAACCTTCAACGCCAAGTGAAATCTTTAGAGTTCTAGAAATTTCGTCTGCATCAATTCCAACATTTACAAAACTTATTAATGATTGTCAGAAAGTAAAATATTACAAATCATCAATGAAACTCTTAGTAGGTTATTAATTGTCTTGTTCCTTCTAAATCTAAAATGAAAATTTGACTCAGAGTGAATTTAAAAAACAGATATTCGCCATTTATAATTAAATAACCGATATACAAGTAGCATCTTTGATTTCACGCTTCTTTAATCATAGTCTTCCTAGAATAAATGATATCTATTTATACCGTAATTGTTATTGTGTCTCCTAGGAAGTACTTTTTAACAATAAACATTGTGGATTCAAGATGTCATTGAAATAAATTATAAGTTGATTGATAATAAATGACGTTGGATACTGAATGATGCTACGCTTTGTTTCTGACTCGGAATATATTTCAAACTAAGTTATTCAACATTGAAGGATAATTTACTTCATTTGGTTAATTTAATGTAATAAGAAAAAAGGCCTCGATCAATATTTTGTCTTTATTAAAGTTAAAAAACAAAATGCAGTTCCATATATATCAAAGAACTAATATCAATTTTAGAAAAAGATAAAACATGTCATCTAGTTGGATAATTATAGACATATAAGTAAAGATGGATAGTGGCTAGCAGTGGAATCCAGGACGCGCGCTTCGTCTTGTTTGGGACTCGTCAGCTGGATGTACCTGCATCTCAGAGTTGATGTTCACTCTGGGACTCGAACTCAGTACCGTTCGCTTCAGACACCATCGCGTTATCCACTTAGCTACTGAGTCCTGATAGCCACTTGCTTGTGCAATGGGATGAAGTTCAATTCACTTGATATTGTTTTTACTTGAATCTTCCCATTGATGTATTAGGACTAAAATTGATCAGGTACATCCAGCTGACGAGTCCCAAACAAGACGAAACGCGCGTCCTGGATTCCACTGCTAGCCACTATCCATGTTTGCTTATAATGCTTGTAAATTAAGGCAATATCGAGGCATACGCACAGTATGCACATATGCCAATAAGAGACTGATCAATTTCAGTCCTAAAACATCAATGGGAAGATTAAAGTAAAAACAATATCAAGTGAATTTATTACAGACATAAGTAATCCAGTTAAAATTAGTTTAGATGATAATCTATTTAGACTGAAATTCCTCCAGAAAATAGCATTGCAAAATACATCTGAACAATTTTATGAAATTTCCTTTTTAGATTTTATCACTAACCAATCATTATTTCATTGAAAATTTCGAAATAAGTAAAGAAATAAGGCATAGCAACAAACTATTTAACTTTCACCATACTGAACCGATAGAAAGAGCAAAATAATTTTGATTTTTAAGAATAAAAAAATGAAAAACAGAAATAGGAGAGGAATTCAAATGAATGTTTGCCAATAAATTAAAAAAAACAATCTTATGTATAAGATTCTAGTCATGTAAAGGAAGATATGAGAACATTTCTTTTAGGTTTTCTGTTTATCATTTGGTATTGTTTACTTGAATTTTCCCATTGATGTTTAGGACTACAATTGATTAATTCTCTTATTGGCATATGTGCTTTATTTAAACACGTAATCATTAGTACAAGGGGGCACAAAATAGATGTGTGTCACATAAATCGTTCAATTTGTGTGAGGGCTGAGATACTGACCGGGCACCCGAACCGGAGCAGGTGGTTTCCTTAGGGAGCTACACCCGAAGCCTTTGACCTAAAGGTCTGATGCACAAGGCAGTGGAGCAACGTCAGGAGATGCAATTCCATGGTAACCGGTGATCAACGATTGGTTCATACGCCTTTTGTTCCCTCAAGACACTGGAACCCATGTGAGCCATTGACTTGGAATGAAGCTTTTCCAACTACCCTAGGTGAACTTACCGTGTCCAGTGACCCGATTAAAGCGCCGAACATTCGCCTTTTGTCCTCTCATTTGTGTAAGCAGCACCCTTGCTTTGAGAAGGCAGTGAGTAGGACTTCGCTGGCAGTGGTTGTATGCACGTGGTAATGTGAGAGCATTTTGAGAGGGAGAGCTGACTCTCCCCACTCTTGATCGTATCAGGGCGTTTAGGGGCCTGCATATATGCATACTGTGCGTATTACCTCGATATCGCCTTAATTCACAAGCATTATAAACAAAGATGGATTGTGACTAGCAGTGGAATCTAGGACACGCATTTTGTCCTATTTGGGACTCGTCAGCTAGATGTACCTCCATCACAGAGTTGATATTCACTCTGGGACTCAAACTCAGTACCATTCATTTGAAACGTCATCGCATTATCCGCTTAGCTACTGTGTTCTGATGATCGTCTTAATAAAATTAGTAAATTTTAAATTTTTCACAATTATTTAGATAGAAAATCTATCAGTAAAAGGCTATTTAATGGTAGTTTAATAAACTATTATATTGAAATAAATAAATTAGTAATATATTTGTAATATCCCAATGAGTAGAAAAATTAGATTTTCTGACATTTCGTGGCTTAGTGTAAAGAAAAATAAACAAATAATTAACACTGAATAAATTGACATATATAAGTGGAACATTTTTGTTCATACTTGAAACCTTTTTCCCCCTTCACCACCACCACTACCACCATCACCACCACAAACAAAAAAATATCCAATACTTATAAACTTACATATACATATAAAAAGAAATACTCTTCGATTTATCATTTATCATATTACTTAGTTATAATAAATATATAACTTAAACGAAACAATTAAAAGTTAAGTAGATAACTAGTTTTTTTTTAAAAAAATAACAAGGTTGATGATAAGTAGTATTTATGATTGAAAAATGTCTTTGTCAAGTGTGTTTTCTTTTTATAAAAGTAATAAAAAAAAAGGAATTTCAAAGTGTTCATAATTATTTCATTTAAAGTTGGTATTTTCATAATAGTCCATTATTCAGTTCTATTTCGTATAGTTTTTAAAGGAAAAATCATTATTATATTTCATTAAAATTCAAATGGTAACTTCATGGGGAAAAAAATCATGATTCTTTATGAATATAGTACCAAAAACCAGATTAGAATTATTCCCTGATCAAATGGTGGCTTCTTACAAAACAACAACAACAACAACAACAAAATAATTAAAATATTAATTTCGTTCATTATTCTAGAAAAAAAAGGCAACTTTAATTTGTTTAAAATCTACTTAGTCAGATTTAACAGAATAACAAATCTAAGTATAATTTTAATAGTTGTAATTTAAGAAATGATATTCCATTGCTAAAAGCTTCAAAGAATTTTGTTTCAAGAAGAATAAAGATGTTTCGATGAAGAAAAGTTCCTTTTCTTTTTTTACGAAGATGTCGTTTTCTTAAATAGGACAATCGTATCTGTAGGTAAGTTTCTATTGAGACATTCCAGTTTCATTGATAATGAGGTCACAGTTGTATTAGACATGTAATGAACGAATACACAAGTGGGGATGACATAATTATTTTAAAAACACTAAGTTCAGCTAAGGAATCTCTTCTCAACAAATTTATTATCAAGCTGTACAATCGTATATATATGAAAAATTTTTTTGTTGTTAAAGTACTAATTCCTTGAGGAAATGTGAACACAATTAACCATGACGTAAGATTATAATACTAGATTACATAATACGGATAATAACAATAGAATTAGTGAATGTACTAAGATGATTAAAATGATTAGATGTTTTTGTTACAACAATAAAAAATGTACATCATGATAATGAATTCGTTAAAAAGAGATCCCTTAGATGAACTTTGTGTCTCGAATTTTTAATGTTTAAATGGGAATTAGCTGTCAATATGTATTTTAATACGGAATTACAGAAAGTTTTAGTAAAATATGAGAACGATAAATTAAATACTTCATTTGCGAATTTCAATCATTCGTCCTTTACATTCTGTATGATTCTTCCTATTCGTGTTTCTTTTATATTTTCGTTTCTATTCTCTTCTACTTGATCTTCTTAGCGTTCTACTGGCAGGATTTCCATTTCCGATTGGTGTTACATACTACTTATGTTTCACGACATAAGTAGCGTACACTACAGACATACTAAATCTTTT